TTTATATATATATATATATATATATATATATATATATATATATATATATATATATATATATATATATAAACTATAGGATTAGTGTAGACGGAATAAAATCCTAGAATCAAAAATACTATTCTTAAAAGAGTGCTCAATACAGAGTAGAGCAAAGATTATTTATTCAAAATTTTCCATATACTTGCATTTTGATTGGTCATTGTAACAGCGTTTCCCCTATTCTTTATTCTACATTCAACACCCTCACTTGATAAGACACCAGAAGTGTTGAAACAAAATGGCTATGATTGTAGCGATGTTATAATATATTTGTTGTAATTTTGGCATATATATATAAACATTTTTCGGACTGTTGCCCTCATATTTATTGTCATATTCACGACGTTTCCGCCGTTATACACCCGGCCTTCTTCAGGTGATATACATGGCCCAGTCGATAAATGAGTTGATGGAAGTAATTCAGTGACTTGACCCAAAGAATTGAGATTTCAAATCCTGGCCACAGCCGAAGTGTACTAAAACTTGGAGCGTTTAGTTACTAAAGGGAAATAACTGAAACTGAGATATCCAGAAAAGGCATGGCACGTGGAATTAAAAGTGTCTACTAATAAGACTAAATAAAGGATTCGGTTGGAAAGTTCAAAATGTATCACATAAAGAAACTTTTGATCATACAACGACCTCCTCAACATTGTCAAGATCAGAACAACAGCCCGAACAATGTACATAATGTAAATAGATAATATCTGATAATATATATATATATATATATATATATATATATATATATATATATATATATATATATATATATATATAAAAAAGGCTTAAACACTAATATTCCATGGTCATAATTTATTCTATCGGAATCGTAAATACGATCCAATTCATCAGACCTACAAATTCAAAAAGAAAACAGAAAAAACAACTCCGGAAATAAAAATAGAATTTAGAGAGAGTGTAAGTATGAGAGTGTGGGGCGAATGTTAAAGCTAAAGAGAGGGGTAACAGACGAGAGAAGGTGGGAGATTAAACCAGAGAGAAGTTTTATAGAGGTGAGTGGAAGAAGTTTAAGTGAGAGTAATATGAATGTTGTCGGATGTCTAATACATTAAAGATACATTTCGTGGTGACATACACACACCATAGACGATCTAATGTTAAAGATCAGGATAAGAGGGAGGGAGAGGAAAAGAATAGAAAAAGGGGGTGGGGGAGAGAGATGGGGTGTGGGAAAAGTGTTCAAGCCTTTTTATTATATCCTTACGCTGTCCTGGACATTGTGTTCTACCTGGATTCTATCCTTTTGGAATTTTTTATTCAAAAATATACATGTATGTGTATGCACCTATGTATTATATATTTATATATTTTGCATATATATTTGTATATATACCACTAATATTAGTTATATATATACATATATATATATATGGTGATTTAAAACTAACTCCCCATTCTAAAATACTTATAATTTATTTATTAACTATTATTTTTAAAAGAAATGTATATGAGAGGAAAGCGATTAGCATGAGGAATTATTTAAAATTCGATATGGGCACCAGATTTCGCTACCAGCTTCTCAAGCCGCCCAGGAATCGTGTCAAGTGATTTCACCAGGAACTCTTGTGGTATGGAAGATATCACTTTTGTATTCGCCCTTCCATTGTATTGCTTTGGAATAGTAGACTTTCTCCTTTAAAGAACTCCAAAGAAAAATTCACAAGGTGTTAAGTCAGGACTCCAGGATGGTGACTGATACATAAAATGAGGAGTTAGTTTTCAATCACCTCCCTTTCTCTCTCTCTCTCTCATATATATATATATATATATATATATATATATATATATATATATATATATCAATATATATAGTCTAAAATATAATACTATAATAATATTAGTATTATATTTTTTAGACTATCATATATTTTTATATATTTTGTTTGTTTATCATACTAGAAAAAACGTATCAGTATAATTTCTTCTGTACTTTTAATATAATGTCCAACTGAATAAAATAGGCTGCATCTACGTACGCATAGAAAGAAGCTTTCCCACAATTACATACGTATGCTTATTTGTACGGAAGATATGACACACATCTATAACTCAAACTAATTGTAGGTAAGCGAATGGCAAAATAGGAATGGTTCCAATGTGTTGGAATAATTCTGAGATTTATTAGTCTGACGATGTTCCTTCTCAGAACAAATTGTGCCACTTAGGACAGCGAACATTAATGGAAAAACTTCCTATTTTTAGGACTTGTCACTAATGAGTGATAGCTAAACCTACAATAACGGATCTTTTTAGAAACCTACATTGAATATAACATTCTTATTTTTACTTTCATAATTACTACTGGAGTTTCCTAATAGTATTAATATACTAAAGATGAAGAGGTTAAATGTTGAATTAAGGAAACAATCACTACTCTTATTCGAAACCTCAAAGTGATAACCAATTAGAAATACTAATATTATAATTCGGAAAGTTTTTACAGCGTACTGAAGAAATACCTCCCGCATATACGTCCCAGGAATACTTCCCACATAATGGTAAAACATTAACTAAATAAAGACAGCATTACCTGTAAGGTAAGTATTTGAGCAGCGTCTTGTATAATGAATAGTTTTGGTATTTGAAACGCGACAGGCCTGTTCAAAAATGAGGTAAATAAAATGATTACATGTAAAAACACCGAAAACGGTTCCACAGAATTAGAGAAGATAATTACAAAGGCTCACTATGTGGGAATGTAAAATCTTATATACTTAGTCTGCATCTAAGTTTCATCGTTTGAAAAATTCCTACTACTATATATCACGGCTTGAAATTTATGAATTAACTGATCTGATATTATTTACTAAATAAACAGTTTTAATTCTACATATTAATTTCTTCAAATATTTCACTTGCATAAAACTAATAATCTCATCCTTACTTCCTTAGACCGCTAACTGTTTCGTTTATATGGAGCTCGTCATCCCTGGAAAATCGTACGTCTAGGGCAAAAGCAAAATCCTGATTTCAAACGTCTGCTGTCTTGCAGCCATATCCAAACCCTGAAAACGCTATGGAAATAAATCAGGGGAGAAAGTCTGGAGTGAAGACCTGAAGACGGTTGATAAACATCCGGCAACTCTTGTAGCTTCGAATATCATGCTTTGTGTTCCTTTGGATTTTGTCGGTATGGCCGAGAGCGGCGTGGTGGGGGTTAATTTGGCCTGACCAGACTACCGCTTCCATATACCAGCACTCAGGCTTGCAATCTGGAGAGGTCACTCAACAACAGTCTTAAAAACAAAGTACTAAATTTTGATCGAACACGGCACTGCCATTGTCTCGGATGCCTGCTACTTCCTTGGATACCGAAAGTCTCTTCAATAATGTCCCTGAATAGAGATAAAAAAAACCCTGCAAAATTATATATAGACAAGGAATCAACACTGCATGATGACTGTCTGTTTTACGCTTTAATGCGATGTTTGTTTGAAGATCGCAGAGAGGAACCCAGACGAAGCTATGCTAAAGGGCAGAGTCTCACCTGGGGTGGTAGACAGCTACCCGACTCCGTTTTTACGGGTTGTACGGGAAATTGTGGCCTGAGCCTACGGGCTCGGTTTTTCCCCACATTAAAAACGGCCTTGTGCCACATCCTGCCTCGCAGGGAGGTAAGGTAAATAACCTATATAATTTTTATTATAAGATTTGGTGGGAACGAATATATATATATATATATATATATATATATATATATATATATATAAAATATATTGTGTGTGTGTGTGTAGAATAATGCTAGTAATAGGCAAAAAATCACATAATTTAGGTATATAAAATTCTTCTCCGGTCCCGACAACTCTCTTATATCCGGGTTACACTGTATATGATATGTCTGTCAATAGATAAATAATAAAATATGATTTTAAATGCATTACAAAAGCATTTTAAAAAGAATTGAAAAAAGCACTATTTTTTATATATATATATATATATATATATATATATATATATATATATATATATATATATATAAAAAATGGAATATATTAAAAGGTTTGGTGATCTAGTCCATGTAAAAAGCCTGTTTTGAATTCTGTCCTTCTTACTAAGTTGGGAAGCCCTGTGTGCATAGTGCAACACCGTCTTCCTTCTATTCATTTCCTCTCACTTGGCATCGGGCCTTACTAAGATAAGCTTAAGAGAGATATTGGAACATAGATCCTGAGGCCAGATGATTTCACACATTTCGTAAATAATTTATGCCTGCTTGCCTTCACCATTCTCTATCGATTTCTACACAAATCTCCCTCAATCCAGGCACCATTTCAGCCACCATCCCAAGTGGCCATTTTCTTCTTTCCATATAAATCTCCAACCAGGTATTTGGTGCCAATAACAAGAGCAGAGTAATCCAGTCGTGAAATGGGCTTAATCGCATGCGTACACAGAATGACGTAGAAATTGAAGACACAACAAGATTGTTCTGGCATTTGCCCTCGGTCAAGTCTGAACCAACACAGACCATTGGTCTTATTAGTTGTAAGCTGGATAGGTGTTGGGTCGCTCGCAACATGGGAACAAAGAGTAAAACGATATAAAAATAGAATATATTATTTAACTGCCCTCTATATTCGAAGGCGATGAAACCAAATTCGGAAAAGTTTCCTGTCGATGAGCACTATCTGATTAATAAAACAGAAAAAGCAAGAGCTTCTGTTGTTTCTGAGTTGGTCTTTTTTCTTAATTATCGACATTTTCTCCTTGTCCATATTCTGGCAACCATTTACACCAGCTCATTACGTAGGTTAAGTGCTGCTTTCCTCTGTCCTGCTTGCCTTCAATGTGTCCTGTCAGTGTCATGTTTTCTAAGTCCTCTTTCCTCAATAAATGCCCTATAATTGTTAATTGTCTCTTTTTGATGCTAAGTATGTGACCGTTTTCTTTCGATAAAGGATGCAAAATTTACAAGCCTTTCCATTTCATTATAACAG